GCCGAACTGCAGATAACAGTCAGCTGAAGTGGCCTGCAGTGCTGCACCCTAACCACTGCGCCACCTCGACACATGGCTCCGCGTGCCACCTGTGGGATGCGTGCCACAGGCTCGCCATCCCTGCTCTAAAGTGTAACATCCAATTAAAGATGCGATTAGGCTTAGAAGATGGGGAAGGTTGCTTGGCTGGAGAACCACTCCCTCTCTCCGTCCTCCTTCTCCCGTCCCTCTTACCTGCCCCAAATTGTCGAAGTTATACTTCCGCCGGACCCATTTGTAGTGGGCTTTTCTGCAGTCGGTTTTAGTGGAGATGTTTCGGATGTCAACCCCCTCGCAGTAGTAGAACTTGCCCTTGAAGAGCTGGGAGAAAACTGGATAAAATCAGCAGGAGAGGTGGAGGTTTGGACTTCAGCTTTGACTTGGCAGGGGCCCCCATTTTGAGAAGACCTTCAGGAGGACTGGGAAGAGTGGTTTGACCACAGAGGAGGTCTGGATGTGCTGCCTGGAACAGGGTCAAGGTTTCCAGTGTGAGAACAGCCATCTTGCACCACTGGGATTTGAACTAGGGAAGGGCCGCTTGACTTGGTTAGATGGTGCTGAGTCATGGCTGTTGAGGAATCATCCAAGCAGGAAAGTGTGATGGTCTTCACAACCAGGGAACATCTAAGATGCAGGGGGTTGGTCAGATCTCAAGGAGCCCCTGTCCTACCCTGGATTGTCCCCTTGGAGGTTTCTTTTATGACCCAGGAGAAGAAGGAAGAGTGTTTCCCAAAGCAAAATAGGAAGGATCACACTCTGTCAAGGTTTAAGAAGGGGGCAAGTGGGCCTCAGCTCCAGCAGATCTTGGGGAACATCATCTGACGTCTGCGTCTCATGTTCAGGCCAAGCCAAATGAAAAAACCCCCAAGAAGAAGGAGACCAAGAAACCTTTCCAGTGGACCTTGCTGAGCAAAAGGGGTACGGTGGGGAAGTCTTACCTGCACTCCCAAAATGCCGAAGATGATAAAGAAAGCACAACAGATCAGGACAATGTTGCCGATAGGCCGAAGAGAAGAGATCAGCGTCTCCACCACCAGTTTCAGACCTGGAGCTCTGCTGATGACCCTGGAGAGGAGGAGAAGAAGAGGAACATCTCCCTTTGTCATTCCAGTTCCAGACTCCCCCAAGAAATATCCAGTCCTCCAGAGGAAACGGACAGTTGGGAAGCAACGGAGATCTTTGAAACCATCTTTTATCACTTTTAAGCATTCTGGTTCCCTTCCCCCCATCCCTCATTTTTGACTGCATGCTGCATGATGAAAAGCAGGATCTAAAAAGAAGAAGGCAGCAAGCGGAGGAAATCCGGTTAGGATCCTTGAGGATGCTGCTGGTTTGGAGAAGGATGCGTAGGTCCTTCATGCCTTCTCTTGCAGTGGAGAGGAAAACCTGTCCTCCTATGCCCAAAGGAACTTGTTTAGGGGTACCCCAGGTGTTCCCGCTTTGTAGGACCCAGAAAATGTCTCCAGACATGAAGTTCGCCTAATCAATGCTTTCAGGTGCCATTGGAGACTTTCCCCCCTTGGTCAAAATGGACCTTGGCTGAGATCTTAATCTCTTCAAATACCAAGCCAGTCCCAAGATCCGCCTCTCCCTAAGAATATCCTAGCACAGACGTCACCCCAGCAAGAAACAGATGGACCAGTTGTGCACCACAGCTGTCCCCCGGAGGAGAGGCCTTCTCTGTGGCTGCTCCGACTCTTTGGAATCAGCTACCCCCAGAGATCCGGNGGGGGGGGGAAGGGGGGGTTGTCAGACTTCTACTACCCCAACCCAGCCCAGGCGGGAGCTCACAGTGCTGTTGGGGTCGATGTCCGGGCGCTCCAAGGCGATGGTGATGCAGTTGAGGAAGATGAAAACCAGGACGATGTGATCAAACATCTTGTGGGCGATGACTCTCTGGCAGTTGGCCCGGAGGCTGAAAGGAAGGCAGAGTTCGAGTTTCGAGTTTAATAAATTTATTTGCCGCCCAATCCCGAAGGACTCCGGGCGGCTTGCATAAAAAACAATAAAAGAAATACTAAAAAGTTTAAAAAGTAGAAGACAAGTTAAAAGAAATACAACATGCACTCAGCCTTAACGGGGCTGGACCTCATTCAAGAAGTCAACAGCCCCAGGCCTGCCGGAAAAGCCAGGTCTTAATGGGGAGGGTCCGGATCTCTGGGGGTAGATCGTTCCATAGGTGATGTCCAAAGAAGGACATTGGTTCGGCCCAAGGGTCAGCCCAGGAAAAGAAGGAGCCCTTACCGGTTTTGGGGGGAAAACAAGTAGAGGGACCAGTCCTCATGATTCTTGCACCAATTGGGCTTGTAGGGCTCCAGGTTCTTGCGGATTCTGTAGCAGAGACTCTGCGGGGAGGAAGCGGAAGAAAAGAAAGGAAGCCCCCTTGGGAAGTCTCATCCCAACTCATCCCTCTCCACCCCTCTTCCTGGAGGGAGGGACAGCTTCCACCCCGGGCCACGACTGAGTTGGCTTGCAAATTCTCACAGGTTTGGGAGTGACAGCTGTCAATGAACAGCTGGAGGATTGTAGGACTGTCACAGGAAGGGACTTCCTCCTAACCCAGTGTTTCTCAACCTTGGAGACTTGAAGTCCTGTGGACTTCAACTCCCAGAATCCCCCAGCCAGCACAGCTGGGAGTTGAAGTCCGCAGGACGTCAAGTCTCCAAGGTTGAGAAACACTGTCCTAACCAGTTGTGGGGTCCTCCCTTCCTACCCTAAAGGGGGCAAAGTTCCCCAACCCCCAAAGGCCATCCTGGGCCACTCCTGAGGTTGTTCAAAGGGAGGGGTGGCTGGAGGCCCCCCAGCCCCACTTGGAGGGGAAGCCAGAGAGCAACGGCTGCTTCAGACTTACGTCTTCCATGCTGTCATCGTAGTCGAAGGGGTCCTCTTTGCGCCCATCCAGGTGTAGGTAGAGCTCGCTGGGCACCTGCAGCAACTTGCCATTGCAGTCCTGATACTCGAGGGGCAGCATGGCTACCGGAGGGTGGACCCCGGGCACTTGGAGGAGTTCCGGCAGGTCCAAGCCGCCCCGGCAGTCCAGGGACTCTGCCCGGTGGTGCAGAGCCCCCCGGCTGAGGGTGCTGAGCTTGGCCTCCTCCGCTTCATCATCCGTGCTGCCTTTGCCCTCCCCCGAAAGCAAGGACTCCCGCTCGCTACACTGGGTCTTCCTCTTGAGGCTGGGGGCCCGGCCCAGGCTGTTCCAGCTTGAGCGGCGGCTGCCCCAGTTGGCACAGGGTGAGCTGCGGAGGCTGGACTGGGAGAGGGGAGGAGACCAGGTCAGGGTTTGAATAGTGTTGCCCCCCTCCAGAAGGAGCCAGGCTGGAGAAGACCTCTCTCCTACTTCATCCTCCCAGCTCAAAGAAGCCCCTACAGGCTTTCCTGGCTGGAGGCTTCTCCTCTGTCTTCTTCTCAGCACCCATCTGCCCCCCCAGTGGAGAACGTCCCTCTTTCCCAACCCTTTCCCAGCCCTGCCAAGCGGCTACTTCTTGGAAAAATACCAAAGATTTCTGGTCAAAGCTGAGCGGTTCCACCGAGACGTTGCTGCCCCTTCTGGAGTCCCCAAAAGGGTAGGCGGTGTCCATGTGTGGAGACCCCTTTGGGGTGGGCATGGGGGTGGCTGCAGTGTGCATGATGATGGGCGGGGGCATGCTGCCCTTGCCCTCCAGGTGGCCGTTGGGCGTGACAGCCAACGAATACATCTTCATCTCTGCAAGGGAAGAGACGGGATCTTCTCAGCAATCTCTGGGCAAGCTAATCCAGAGTTGGAGATGTTCTGCAGCTACTTCTGTCCTTGAACCACTTGTAGTCCAACCCTCTGCCCAAGCAGGAGACCCTCTACCACTCTGGACAAATAGCTGTCCATTTCTCCGAGGGACAATGCAGAATTTCTTGGGGGGAAGAAGAAGAGAAGCAAGCAGTCCTGCTTTTCTTGCTTCCTCTGATGACCCTCCAGAAGGCAACCTCTCCACCTCACCTGGCTGTTCGGAGCTCTGGTCTTTCCCCCTCAGGTGGAAAGTGAAGCCCTCCACTTCCCCAGCCAGCCAGCCAGCCAGCCAGCCAGCCCCCTCTCCCTCCTTACCAGAAGCATGGAGTTCCTTCAGTTTCTCAAACTCTTCCTCAAAGTTGGTCGACGTTTTGTCTTCGTCCGTGTCAGATCTGTTGGCGTCGCCCTTGAAACGCCCCCAAAATAAAACAGAACAAACGTTTGGCGACAGTTTCGCAATTATGTCGGGTGAACGAAGCTGCCTGGAGACAAAACCCAAACCTTTGTCCTAAGGGTTTGTAAACATTTATTTTACAAAAGGCTTATTTCACGGCTCCTTGGTTCAGCGTTCCAAACTCCTCCCGGAAAACATGAGGTCTGTTTGGAATAGACCCCCCCGAGAGTTTGCACGCCACAATCCTTCCTCCTGTTGAGCAAGAGTGAGATCGGGGGGACTTTTCACATTCCCATCTACTTCCTCTGCCAGGAGTCTGCAAAGGTTTCTCCCGATAGTTTAGGGCCCTCCCAAATTTAAATGCCACCGGAGAAAAGAAAGGAGGGAAGGCAGGGGAGAAGGAAGTAAGGGAGGAGGGAAGAAAAGGGTATGGAAAAGAAGAAANGTATTGTCCTACACCCCCCTTCCTTTTTTGATTGTAAGCCGCCCTGAGTCCCCTCAGGGAAAAGGGCGGCCTATAAATAAATAAATCAATCAATCAAAGCAGCAGACTCCTGCAGAGAGCAGAGAAGAATTTCCCCAGTACATTTCCCCCCCCTCCTCCTCCTCCTCCCTCCCTCTCTCCCTCCCTCCCTCCCTCTCGCTTCTCCTTGTCCTCCAGTCGCCTCGCTTATTACTTGGGGACAAACCGGAAGACCAGCTCCCTTTCGCCTGGCTTCAGATATTGAAAGTGTCGTCCTACTTTCGACTTTCCGGCAAGCTAAATTGCTCCTCTGTGGCTCTGAACACAAAACATCTACAGATGCCGGGAATCCTCAAATTATTTACCCATCACAGTTGGAATGCAAATTCCACTCCAGGGCAATGTGTCAGCTGTGCCCCCCTCTCCACCACCCCTGCCTGGCACCCCTACCCTTTAGGGGCTGGGCTGGGGCTCCGGGAACTTCTGCAGGGTTTGCCATGGAGCATCTTCAGCGATTCGGAGCCCAGGCTGTTTCGGAAAGGCCTAGAAATGCTGGGGGGGAAAGAGTGTTTATCTTGCACCAGGCATGATCACGTGACCTACTGCAAATAAGGGCAACCTTTCTACCGTACCTGCTGGGAAGAATGGGGTGCTTTGGCTTCCGAGACAGGCACACGGATGCAGCTGCTAAACGGGAAAGACATGCATGCTAATCTATGCGCCACAGGGCCCCGTGCCAGAGACTGCTGGAAAATGAACACTGAGCTTTTGCATTCTCGGTCACATTGCTTTTGTCCTTCGGTGGATGCGCAACGCAATAAGCAGGTTTAGTTCAAAGTCAAATAGACAGAGCTTCTCTGGCGGTTGGACAAAGCACCAATGATTTGCACGGTGCCTAGAGTTAATTAAAGCACGGTGCCACATTTGGATGCGATTTGGAAATGACCAGGAATGCACCAGCTTAGTCTTTTTTCCAGAGCCAAGAATGGGTAGGGAAGAGCAGCCTATCAGTTGCAAATGGCAAATTGTAGCTCCCCAAGTTCTAAACGGATCTTCGGAGTCTTTCCAGGCTCTCAGACCGAAAGAGGAAAAGCCCGAGAAGAGATTTTCTTAGGAAAAGTTGGTCTGGGGATCAAAAATGGTCTCCTTAACGGCTTGTTCAGGCGTGGGAAACTGGGTTTCCGCCTGCTCCTCCTGAGGAGGAAGTGATCAGCTCAGGTGGCTTCTGCTTTTCTGGAGGCCAAGAAATACCGTAAAGGTCTCAGGGTGCGCAGCAGCCGAAGGACCCTCAGGACCCCTAAAATCTTGGCTCCGCTTGCTGACGCCATGGAAACGATGATGTCGATGATGGAGACAAAGACCAGGATCCCATCCAAGACGTTCCAGCTGCTCTGGAGGTAAGTGTGCTCTCCGGAGAAGAAGCCAAGAGCCACAACCTAGAAGGAGAATGGAAGAGGCTGTTCCAGGCACGGATGTTCCTGCTACCTTGAAGCTCAAGAACCGTTTCACTGGAAATGAGACAGAATCTGGAGTGGAACTGTTCAGGAGGGGGGGGGGAGGAGGGGTCTTTGCAAAGAGCAAAAGCCAACCATAATCTTCCACCACTGCAGAAAATTGCCTTGTGGTCAACTTTTCCGCCACATGCGAGAAAAATTGACAATTGACACGGGCCTCTGTGCTGCCTCAGTGGGAAAGTTCTTGGATGCAATTTCTTTTAGCAATAGCAATAGCAATAGCAGATTTTTATATAGCGCTTCATAGGGCTTTCAGCCCTCTCTAAGCGGTTTACAGAGTCAGCATATCGCCCCCAACAACAATCTGGGTCCTCATTTCACCCACCTCGGAAGGATGGAAGGCTGAGTCAACCCTGAGCCGGTGAGATTTGAACCGCTGAACTGCTGATCTAGCAGTAGCCTGCAGTGCTGCACTCTAACCACTGCGCCACCTTGGCTCATAAAGATTTTGCTCAACCTCAGTTTTG